TTCTGAAAACAATTTTAGTAACGTCACTTATGTCACCCGGAAGTGGAACTACTTTTATGAGGTCAAATACATACAGTTCTTCTGCTTCGTGTGTTACTGAAATCCTCAAAACTGTAAATCCTGTGTTATCATCAAAACTGAAATTCATCTTTATCCACAACTTATTAATCATAATGTACATAAAATATCAAAAGTTTAATTTTATTTGACGTTATTTGCAGTACAGAACTATATTACGAGTATGACTAAATCCTAATGCGTGAGACGTCTATGGTGCGGGGCTCGTCACTTTTCATACGCCATGCACATGGTATTTTTTACACACAATACACTTCATCTTGCACTCGAACAAGGAAAACAGGGTAAGATAGTAATAATCATTTACCCCTTTTAGGATGAGATAGAAAAACTAAACCCGAGGGGGAATTTGATTAAGTTATCAAACACGAGGTCTGCTGTTTGACAGCTCTGTAATCTTCTCCCGATTTTATCATTCTATCTCGTCGGACAGAAATATCAACACTTCCCGTAATAGTAAGATATCTCTATCTTGCCGAAGTAAGAAAGTCTGCATGCACAGAATATAAACACGTGCTAAACCGGAAGTTGTAAATTTGGGACGTAAAGAGACATGACTGATTGATATTGACAGTTTAAGATAAGATTAATATCGCTGTATGAGAGCAGCAGACCTTTCTCTTTATTCAAACAAATTTTGTCTTTGTACAATAAAAGATGTAGATTATTAATAGGTCAAAATAAAAGCAAAATTCCTTATTTGTCTGATTTTGTTTCCATATTTGTCTCGTTATTCTATCTCCAGAATGTTGGAGATAACGGGTAGCAGAGATCATTTCCTTGTGCATTGATCTCCTCCTCGGGTAGAAATTTCTCTATCCCTCCCTCGACCTATTGAAAGATCCTATTAATCCAGGCCTATTCTTTCTCTTACAATTAACTAAGGTAGATGATTGTTAAGCCACCAAAACTATAATCTCTGTTAAAAGGACAACTATCTGACTGTCATTACGGGTATATGGCAGATTTTGGTGTTACACGGGATAGCTATAATTTCGATCTTTTATACAAGAATCAATACTATTTTGAGACTCGGACAGCATCAAGCAAGTCTAGTTAATTGTAACACCAAAGTACACTAAGAATTGTTTATAGATTAATTAAAAATTATATAACAAAAGTTTCCAACATTGAGACTTAGATCTCCGAGGACACGAAATTTCGTAAATATGTCAAAAAAGAAGAATAACAGAGCGTTTATTGGTGAAGTCATTTTAGGGATTTGATGGCATAACCTCAAAAAAACGATACCGAAAAATTTCATTATACAAAGACACTGTGGAAAATCCAGAATTAAATCTCTTCTCATTTATCATACCTTTAGTCTCAGTGTTGTGTAATACACACTTTAGTCACTGTGTTGTGTAGTACAAACTTTGTTATCAGTGTTGTGTAGTACAAACTTTGTTATCAGTGTTGTGTAGTACAAACTTTGTTATCAGTGTTGTGTAGTACAAACTTTGTTATCAGTGTTGTGTAGTACAAACTTTGTTATCAGTGTTGTGTAGTACAAACTTTATTATCATTTTATGTAGTAAAAACTTTGTTATCAATGTTGTGTAGTACAAACTTTGTTATCAGTGTTGTGTAGTACAAACTTTGTTATCAGTGTTGTGTAGTTCAAACTTTGTTATCAGTGTTGTGTAGTACAAACTTTGTTATCAGTGTTGTGTAGTACAAACTTTGTTATCAGTGTTGTGTAGTACAAACTTTGTTATCAGTGTTGTGTAGTACAAACTTTGTTATCAGTGTTGTGTAGTACAAACTTTGTTATCAGTGTTGTGTAGTACAAACTTTGTTATCAGTGTTGTGTAGTACAAACTTTGTTATCAATGTTGCGTAGTACAAACTTTGTTATCAGTGTTGTGTAGTGCAAACTTTGTTATCAGTGTTGTGTAGTTCAAACTTGGTTATCAGTGTTGTGTGTAGTACAAACTTTGTTATCAGTGTTGTGTAGTACAAACGTTAGTCTCAGTGTTGTGTAGTATACAGTTTGTTATCAGTGTTGTGTAGTACACACTTTAGTCTCTGTGTTGTGTAGTACAAACTTTAACGGGAGTGTTGTGTAGTATACAGTTTGTTATCAGTGTTGTGTAGTACAAACTTTAGTCTCTGTGTTGTGTAGTACAAACTTTGTTATCAGTGTTGTGTAGTACAAACTTTGTTATCAGTGTTGTATAGTACAAACTTTGTTATCAGTGTTGTGTAGTACAAACTTTGTTATCAGTGTTGTGTAGTACAAACTTTGTTATCAGTGTTGTGTACAAACTTTGTTATGTGTGTGTACAAAATTTGTTATCAGTGTTGTGTAGTACAAACTTTGTTATCAGTGTTGTGTAGTACAAACTTTGTTATCAGTGTTGTGTAGTACAAACTTTGTTATCAGTGTTGTGTAGTACAAACTTTGTTATCAGTGTTGTGTAGTACAAACTTTGTTATCAGTGTTGTGTAGTACAAACTTTGTTATCAGTGTTGTGTAGTTCAAACTTTGTGAACAGTGTTGTGTAGTACAAACTTTGTTATCAATGTTGTGTAGTACAAACTTTGTTATCAGTGTTGTGTAGTACAAACTTTGTTATCAGTGTTGTGTAGTACAAACTTTGTTATCAGTGTTGTGTAGTACAAACTTTGTTATCAGTGTTGTGTAGTACAAACTTTGTTATCAGTGTTGTGTAGTACAAACTTTAGTCTCAGTGTTGTGTAGTACAAACTTTGTTATCAGTGTTGTGTAGTACAAACTTTGTTATCAGTGTTGTGTAGTACAAACTTTGTTATCAGTGTTGTGTAGTACAAACTTTGTTATCAGTGTTGTGTAGTACAAACTTTGTTATCAGTGTTGTGTAGTACAAACTTTAGTCTCAGTGTTGTGTAGTACAAACTTTGTTACCAGTGTTGTGTAGTTCAAACTTGGTTGTCAGTGTTGTGTAGTACAAACTTTAGTCTGTGTTGTGTAGTACAAAATTTGTTATCAGTGTGGTGTAGTACAAACTTTGTTATCAGTGTTGTGTAGTACAAACTTTGTTATCAGTGTTGTGTAGTACAAACTTTGTTAGTGTTGTGTGTACAAATTTGTTATCAGTGTTGTGTAGTATAACCTTCGTTATCAGTGTTGTGTTGTACAAACTTTAGTCTCTGTGTTGTGTAGTACAAACTTTGTTATCAGTGTTGTGTAGTATAAACTTTGTTATCAGTGTTGTGTAGTACAAACTTCAGTCTCAGTGTTGTGTAGTACAAACTTTAGTCTCAGTGTTGTGTAGTACAAACTTTGTTATCAGTGTTGTGTAGTACAAACTTTGTTATCAGTGTTGTGTAGTACAAACTTTGTTATCAGTGTTGTGTAGTACAAACTTTGTTATCAGTGTTAGTACAAACTTTGTTATCAGTGTTGTGTAGTACAAACTTTGTTATCAGTGTTGTGTAGTACAAACTTTGTTATCAGTGTTGTGTAGTACAAACTTTGTTATCAGTGTTGTGTATCAGTGTTGTGTCAGTGTTGTGTAGTACAAACTTTGTTATCAGTGTTGTGTAGTACAAACTTTGTTATCAGTGTTGTGTAGTACAAACTTTGTTATCAGTGTTGTGTAGTACAAACTTTGTACACTTTGTTATCAGTGTTGTGTAGTACAAACTGTAGTACAAACTTTGTTATCAGTGTTGTGTAGTACAAACTCAGTGTTGTGTAGTACAAACTTTGTTATCAGTGTTGTGTAGTACAAACTTTGTTATCAGTGTTGTGTAGTACAAACTTTTTTCTCAGTGTTGTGTAGTACAAACTTTGTTATCAGTGTTGTGTAGTACAAACTTTGTTATCAGTGTTGTGTAGTACAAACTTTGTTATCAGTGTTGTGTAGTACAAACTTTGTTATCAGTGTTGTGTAGTACAAACTTTGTTATCAGTGTTGTGTAGTACAAACTTTGTTATCAGTGTTGTAGTTCAAACTGTGTTATCAGTGTTGTGTAGTACAAACTTTGTTATCAGTGTTGTGTTGTTGTGTAGTACAAACTTTGTTATCAGTGTTGTGTAGTACAAACTTTGTTATCAGTGTTGTGTAGTACAAACTTTGTTATCAGTGTTGTGTAGTACAAACTTTGTTATCAGTGTTGTGTAGTACAAACTTTGTTATCAGTGTTGTATAGTATACACTTTGTTATCAGTGTTGTGTAGTATAACCTTCGTTATCAGTGTTGTGTAGTACAAACTTTAGTCTATGTGTTGTGTAGTACAAACTTAAGTTTCTCGAAAGTGCTGTGTAAAACAAAAATGTAAACAGACTGACTCGGTGTTGCTCAGTACAAATTTCGGTCTCAGAAAGTTTTGTTTTGTGTAGTATAAAATTTAGTGTCAGTGTTTTTTAATACAAACTATAAGGTTCCTGTTTCTAAAACCTGTCAATATAAGTGATTTCCGGTTCCTATGTCCTTTGAGAGTTTATTCGCAGCTCTGTCTCTTCGAGAAAACAAATTGAGTTACCGCCATTTTGCCATCGCGTGGCTTTACCCAGTAGAGTTCGTGCCATAATTTTTTTTTTCTGTTTCATTGCGCAGTTGCGATTTGCGTACATTTCAGTGATTTTCGCCATGCATTACAGTCCCATTAACCCGAGTTTGGATATAAGCGGACAGCACGTGCATTTTGGATTTTATTGGTGGATCGAATAAACAAATATTTATTGGAATGACGCGAAATTGGACCGGAGATGTGGTATCAGGTGATTTTTTAAGGCGAAATGATCTATAGAACAATCCTTTTAACTTTGAATGTCACGAGAGTATTAAAAAGAAAAACTGGCAATATTTGAGGTTACGAACAAAGTATCGTTTTCTTTTTGTACTTGCTCTGTTTGATGCCATGCTGTTTCCGTTCAGTGAATATTGACAAAAGTTGAGATGAGTGCAGTTATTAATAATTGATATATACGTACCTTGCGCAAAGCTGTTGAACTTGCAGAAAAACGTTCCCAGAATCCATCCCTCTGTCAGATCGTCGACAACATGAACCCAAGAGCATGCGAGCGTTACCAACAAATCCGACACCGCCAAATTGACGATATAAAAGTTCGTAGTTGTTCGTAGTTGTTTATTCCATATAACCACGAGAATTATTAGGACATTGCCCACAGCGGCCAGTAAAATAATGTTGGAATACACGGCCACTTTTATGACCGCTTCAAGCAGGGGCACAGACTTAAGGGGTTTTAAGTAGTCGTATTGCGAGTAATCTATGACGTAGTCATAATCAAGGTACTCTTCAGATACATTATATAAACTGGTTCTGTTTGGGTGAAGAGGTGAATTATTCAAATAAACCTGATCTTGACTGTAATACTCAGGTACACTCCCCTGGTCCATATTTGGGTAGTAAGTTGTAGAGTTCTCCTGTGAATTTTTCTCCATATCATAAACTGACAAGTCTCCGGAGCGAGTCCTGGCCGACCGCGAGCTTCATCACCTTGGCTAGCTCGAGTCAATGCAAGCTGATCTGAGCAGTCGCTATATAAACCAGGTATGTGTCGTCTGCTAAATGGTAACGATTGGCACTATTATACTATCACAGAACGACTATATAGGATGTGTGTGATTCGTACTGAACACTACTGTATTGTACAGTTACCATAGGGAGATGTGTGTGGTATAGTTACCATAGGGAGATATGTGTGTGGTATAGTTATCATAGGGAGATATGTGTGTGTGGTGTAGTTACCATAGGGAGATGTGTGTGGTATAGTTACCATAGGGAGATATGTGTGTGTGGTGTAGTTACCATAGGGAGATGTGTGTGGTATAGTTACCATATGGACATGTATATGGTGTAGTTACCATAGGGAGATGTGTGTGGTGTAGTTACCATAGGGATATGTGTGTGGTATAGTTACCATAGGGACATGTGTGTGGTAAAGTTACCATAGGAAGGTGTATGCTAAAGTTACCAGACATAGGTGTGTGTGATATTGTCACCAAAGATAATTTCGTTTTATCATTAACATCGGAAGTTGTATTGAGATGTGTGTAACAGTTACCATAGTTAGATGTGTGTGCAATAATTATAGGGGGTTTGAGATATAGCCCAATGGAGCAGTGCCTCGTGGACTTGAGATCTTGACAGGAAGGCGTAGCGTTTCGTCCGATAAGCTATTTAATAACAGTAATTATAAAACTGACCTCTGTGATACGATAATCACCATGACAGATCAACGTTGAGTTCATTTACCACTTGATGAAGTAAATAACCTCAATCTATCAGTCAAACGTCTCAGGGATAAAGATTTGTTAACTGAAACAAGTGATCTTACATTTTCTTTCTAGAAAAAATGATATTACATCAAATATGTTGTGCATGTGACAGAATGCGTATGTTAGAAGTGTCAGCATTTACACGTGTAAACATGTGAGTATCTAGATGATAACCCGTGTCAACACAGTGAACTATATGTATCAGCATAGTATTCTGTATGTGACATCGCATTGTGTTTTAGGTGTCAATACATGCTGTAGGGTGACGACAAAATAGTGTTTTAGGTGTCAAGACAGTAAGGCGTAGGTGAAAACACATTGTGTTTTAGGTGTCAAGACGGTAAGGCGTAGGTGACAACACGTTGTGTTTTAGGTGTCAAGACAGTAAGGCGTAGGTGACAACACGTTGTGTTTTAGGTGTCAAGACAGTAAGGCGTAGGTGACAACACATTTTGTTTTAGGTGTCAAGACAGTAAGGCGTAGGTGACACACTGTTTTAGGTGTCAAGACAGTAAGGCGTAGGTGACAACACATTGTGTTTTAGGTGTCAAAACAGTAAGGCGTAGGTGACAACACATTGTGTTTTAGGTGTCAAGACAGTAAGGCGTAGGTGACAACACATTGTGTTTTAGGTGTCAAGACAGTAAGGCGTAGGTGACAACACATTGTGTTTTAGGTGTCAAGACAGTAAGGCGTAGGTGACAACACATTGTGTTTTAGGTGTCAAGACAGTAAGGCGTAGGTGACAACACATTGTGTTTTAGGTGTCAAGACAGTAAGGCGTAGGTGACAACACACTGTTTTAGGTGTCAAGACAGTAAGGCGTAGGTGACAACACATTGTGTTTTAGGTGTCAAAACAGTAAGGCGTAGGTGACAACACATTGTGTTTTAGGTGTCAAGACAGTAAGGCGTAGGTGACAACACATTGTGTTTTAGGTGTCAAGACAGTAAGGCGTAGGTGACAACACACTGTTTTAGGTGTCAAGACAGTAAGGCGTAGGTGACAACACATTGTGTTTTAGGTGTCAAGACAGTAAGGCGTAGGTGACAACACATTGTGTTTTAGGTGTCAAGACAGTAAGGCGTAGGTGACAACACACTGTTTTAGGTGTCAAGACAGTAAGGCGTAGGTGACAACACGTTGTGTTTTAGGTGTCAAAACAGTAAGGCGTAGGTGACAACACATTGTGTTTTAGGTGTCAAGACAGTAAGGCGTAGGTGACAACACATTGTGTTTTAGGTGTCAAGACAGTAAGGCGTAGGTGACAACACACTGTTTTAGGTGTCAAGACAGTAAGGCGTAGGTGACAACACATTGTGTTTTAGGTGTCAAGACAGTAAGGCGTAGGTGACAAAACCTATTGTTATAGATGTCATGTCGATATTCCTGGGATATGTATTGCTGCAAAATTATGTTTAGAGTCAAAAGTATTTCATGTCAGCAGGGAAAGCACAACACAGGGACCTGTCGTTATTAAATCTACCATAACAAAGGAACCTGCCGTTATTGATATCCGACTCCAGGGACAGTCTATACACTGTCGTCACTGATCTCCGACTCCAGGGACAGTCTATACACTGTCGTCACTGATCTCCGACTCCAGGGACAGTCTATACACTGTCGTCACTGATCTCCGACTCCAGGGACAGTCTATACACTGTCGTCACTGATCTCCGACTCCAGGGACAGTCTATACACTGCGGTCACTGATCTCCGACTCCAGGGACAGTCTATACACTGCGGTCACTGATCTCCGACTCCAGGGACAGTCTATACACTGTCGTCACTGATCTCCGACTCCAGGGACAGTCTATACACTGTCGTCACTGATCTCCGACTCCAGGGACAGTCTATACACTGTCGTCACTGATCTCCGACTCCAGGGACAGTCCATACACTGTCGTCACTGATCTCCGACTCCAGGGACAGTCCATACACTGTCGTCACTGATCTCCGACTCCAGGGACAGTCTATACACTGTCGTCACTGATCTCCGACTCCAGGGACAGTCCATACACTGTCGTCACTGATCTCCGACTCCAGGGACAGTCTATACACTCTCGTCACTGATCTCTGACTCCAGGGACAGTCTTTACACTGCCGTCACTGATCTCCGACTCCAGGAACAGTCTATACACAGGCGTCACTGATCTCCGACTCCATGAACACTCCTTGTTATTTTGTAATTCTGATGTGTTAATTCCTGTAGATCTCGGCTATTTAACAGTTGTGGATGTTTGGTGGGATTTATCATTGATGACGACGATTGTGGTAATAGGAGTGTTGATCCTTGTGACACGGGTGAACTTAAACAGAACACAAAACGGAGTAGACATGTATGTTACAAGAACGTTAGATTATGATGTAAAAGAACAGATACATCAGTTAATGAATAATGAATCTCATATCACGTCCATTGTATAAACTCCTCAGATATAGAAATATCAAGGACACAACAGACTCTTCTACATCAGCTGCTTATCTCGATCTTTTCCTACAATGAAACCATGTGGGAAAACTGTGCTCCAATTTTATACTGAACGTGGTAGTTTTCCCATTGCGAATTTCCCGTTTCTATACAGCAAAATCTGTAACTATGGTGCTGACAGGTGACAGTTGCTCCAAATATAAAGAATTAGGTGCAAAATATTGGCAGATAACAGACTTACATGACAGGATTTCGAGAGACGCAGATTGAAAAAAAATTATGATTAAAAACTAACAATACCAATTAAAAAATCATTCATTTTCAGATCAAAAAAAAAAAAAAAATTCCGTTTCTCATAAGCTTCGGAGAAGCCCGCCATGATAATGAGATCTTCCGGTCAGCGTATCGAAGGAAGCGGTCGACATTTTAGTCCAAGCCTTGCTTGGAAACGAGTATGGGCATTCCAGGGTTTAAAAGGCTTGCAACTTGTCAAACCAGTTTGCATTTTAACATTGACCGCCCGAAGTTAAAGTCAGCTGTATATTATAACAATTACGCCTGGTCTCGGAAGCATCATAAAAGCTTCATACTTTTTTTCACATCAAAATGGAAGTTGTTTTTTTAACAAGCATTGTCAACTTTAAGTTGTATGATTGTCATACTCATAACGGTCTAATTTGGATTTTAAAAAAAAGAAATTCTGTAGATAAACGTATATATAATGTACCAATGCATCTAAGTATCTGAATAATTAATCCACTTTTTTATAAAAAAATATTGATGCAAGCAAACACGTGCATTTTTACCACCGGTATAAACAAGGACAAGACCGTATATTCTCGGCAAGCCGTAATTGCCATACGTAGAGATTTAGAGCGTAAACGAATAAATTATTGAAATTCAATTAGACGCAAACATGTAACAGTCCTTTTCCTATAAACACGTCGTTTCGATTTTTACTTTTTTAAAACTACGATATGTTAGTTGGTTTCAAAGTGCTATTGAATTAGGAAACGCTTGATAATGACTTAATTCAAAATAACTAATTCGTAAGCAGACCTATAATTATATTTTAAGAACAACGCGTGATTACCGACATGTGAATAAGATTGTAGATCTGAAGCAAATCGATAGAACGATGATAATTTATCGATGAAATATGTACTTAGTGAACCTTAGAAAGAGGCGGTAAATCTCTCTAGTTGCGAAGAGCTTTATTTTTCATTTTTTTTCCGAGGATAAGATGAAACCGTTGAAAATAGACACGTGACGAATCAGGTGACAGATAACAAACCCGCCGTATAAATGTTTGTATATTAATATAAGTAAGTAAGTGAAACTTCTTAAAGGATGTATGTAACTCGAACGTTAAAAACTTCTATGACTTTTGTTTTGTTCTAGATATGAATTTTAAAAAGTTAGATGAGGAAGTGATTTAGAACAACAAACAAACAAATAAAAATAAATAAGTTGCTACACTTCTTTTACCACTGCAGGCGTCAGAATTACACTTTTTTTTTGCTTCTTTTTCATAATTTTTCAAGATAAATAGTATTCTTGTTAATATCAGAGGCGATGTTTGTTACAAGAATTACAATACAATAGACTAATTTTGAGATAATGAGTAAAACACAATCTCAAAATGCTAATTTTCAATTTTATTTGACTGCCTCAAATCTCTATAGCAACAGATAAATGTAAGCTTTGCAGGAAAATGCTTAGGTCCTGTATT